ACTGCGCGTACCACTCGCTGAAGCGCGTACAGGTCGTGCCGGGCGTGCACACACCGGACCCGAGGTAGAACTTGCCGCCGCACTGCCCAAACTCGGCGACCTCGGTGGACTCGTCGCGGGGCTGGCACTGCGACACGATCTCGTTGAGGCGGATGCAGTGGTGCCCTGGCACACACGTCGAGTCGCCGACAAAGTCGACGCCGCCGCACTGGCCCCATGCGTCGACGTACGCGGCGCGGGCAGTCGTCGCAACGGCCGCGAGGAGCGAAGTCAGAAGGAGCTGCATGACGGCGTGGGCGCAAGTGGGCGAGTGAGTGAAGACGGATGGATCGACCGAGGCACCAGTAGCCGCGCAGCTGAGCCACTTCAACTTCGATTTGGCAACTTCGACGCAGTTGCGAGCTGGGTGACCGCCCGTCGTGATGCGCCAGTAGTAGTCGAGGCAAGATGCGATGGTACTTGCTCGAGGTATGCCTGGTATCGTCGGCGCCTTGTCAGCTACGTAGCAGTACGTAGGTAGAGCAGCATAAGTGGGTACTCGCGACCAAGCATGGGCGAGGATCGGGACCAGGATCGGCGATGTGGAGTTGCGTGCAAGTAGCCTTCCGATGCGCGAGATTCAACTAGAATCTCGCGCGTGGGGCGATGGGTCACAAGGAGTCGCTTTGCACGATGTCGACCCCGGCGTCGCAGAGTATCAAAATGTTGCGTGTCATTATCGTTCTGCTCCCAAGCAGATCGTTAGTGTTGAGCGCATCAATTCCGAGGTACCAGCCTCAACAAAAGCTTGTTCACGATAGCAGCACTGCACGATGCATCCTCGAATGCAGTACCCGCTCATACATCCCAGGCAACATCGCAGTTCTAGAGTAGGATGAAGATGCTGTCGTCTGGTGTACTGAGCGACCAACGCGCACGGGAGGTCAGACGAGACTCAGACAGGCGGGATCGCACCAACTACGACTTTTTAGTTCGAGGGCGCGTCGCATTCCTGTGGCCCACGGAGCTCAATGGCCAGGATGCGCCGCGTCTTCAACGTCGGAGCGGACGCAGCAGATGGTTTCAACGCAGGGTTCGTAGCCGGTTACGAGTTGGCGAGCATGAGTCGTTTATCCGGTTTCAACCAGCCAAGTGTGCGGTTCAAGCAAATCGTGTACAACGTGTACGAGTCAAGTCGGCTGACTTGAGTGTGGAGCGTTTACCTAGAAATTGCGTGCTTCCAAGTGGAGTATTGTATGTTTTTCGTCGCTCGAGATATGGGAGGATTATTGCGTTATTCTTTTGACTTGTTTTGACGCAGTTGCGCGCGGCGGTTTTTCCGAAGGCGGGTCTGACGTGGCGCCACAACAAGCTGCAAGGGCGTCGAAAAACAGTATTACGCATTGTCGTCCTTTCAACACGTACAATTCGACGGAGCGTTTTTCTTCAGAAGCATCTCCGCGACGGCGTGTGACCTGATGGAGCTCTCGTGAAGAGTGGAGAGTACCCGTTGTCGTCGACTGCACTTGGACGCGATCGATCATTTTATGTACGAGTGGAGCTTGCATCGTCTCTAGTGAAAAACAAAACTGAAGCAGTCAACTCGAACTGTGCTTTTCTGTGGACTTGATATCATTGCACTTGATACTCACCGCTTTTAACGCAGAGGCACCACCAAGCAACATCGACACGCGATCTCTCTGGCGTCTTGTGGTACCAACACCACCGTAAGAAAGAAAGTATCAAGTAACTATCAACCTACCATGTCATTAATGCTATCTTATTCCTTCCAGAACTGAAGTTTGGACCACAGTGTGGCCCAAAAGGTCGGCGGCGCCATGCAGCGCTCGATTGTCGCAAAGACTTCTTCCTTCGCGAGCATACCGTCGACCTTGCAGAGCGCTGCGACAGAGGCGAACGCGCCGACGACAGCGCCGCAGTTGTCGTGGAACTTGGCGAGGCGGTTCTTGATCGTGCTTTCCGTATCGTCCGAACGCTGGACGACGTCAACGCCCGGCGGAGGCGGGTTGAACGTAATGTGGTACGTCTTGCCCGTCGCGAGGTCCACGCGGCGACCAGAGATGCGTTTGATGACCTCGTCGTCCGGCACGTCGAGGAGGATCACGAGGCTGGGCACGATGCGATGGGCGAGCATGGCTTCGGCCTGCGCCTGCGTGCGCGGAAACCCGTCGAGGAGCCAGCCGCGCTGCTTGCAATCGTCTTCTTCGAGGCGCGCGAGGACGACCTGGATGATGAGCGCGTCCGGGACGAGGTCCCCGGCGTCCATGTAGGCTTGCGCCTCCTTGCCGAGCGGTGAGCCCGCTTGAATGGCCGCGCGGAGCATGTCGCCGGTCGAGAGGTGCACAAGGTTGAACTTGGCGACAAGGAGCTCGCACTGAGTGCCTTTGCCGCCTGCAGGCGGGCCGCAGATGACGAGCTTGGGCGACGTCGAGCGCATACTAACAGCAGAGAGAGTGTGCTGGAGATGGAAAATCCAAATGTGAGCCCGGCATCTACGATCGAAGCTGGTGTCGAAGATTATAGCTGCGACA